CAGTTCCGGAGGACATTTTCGGGTTGATGGTCGGCGGATTTAAAAAGTATGAACCCTAGGGGTACTATAACACTCGATCTAAGGGCGGAAGAGCAAAAACTTGCTAAAAAGCTCAAGAACAGGAGGGAAACTGACCTCGGAAAGCTGAGATTGATCGAAAGTCGATTTCTCTCTCTAGAGAACACTTGGGCAGAGCTTCGCTTCAATAAGTTCGCACAAGGAAGAATGAACTCGGCTTGTGGTATTTATAAGCAACTGGGCCTCGAGAACTGGGCCTCAACTCGAAAGCCCATCATTACCAGCCTCCGCCTTAGCCAATGGGTGGCGCCCGCCCACTTTCGGCCATCTAGAGCGCGCCACGTGGCTCCCCCCTCCAACGGCTCTATTCCAACGGCTCCATTTGGGAAACTTGATGCGCTCCCCGCCTCACAGCTTCCGGCCACGACAAACAACAGCCCTCGGCGATCAATCATCATCAGGTCCGATAAGACGAATGCCTCCGGCTATCACGCGTTATAACCTTCGGGTTATCAGTACCGCCCTCATGAATTGGGTCATCACCGACATGAGCCTCCGACTTACCAGTGCTGCAATACCCAGCCATTGGAACCCCTCGGGGAACTCCTCAGCACAAACATTAAACTCCTTCAGCCCGAACTCGCCTTCGGCCTAAAGGAGTGGGGGACTGGGACACACCCCTCAGGAATCACACATGACTAAAAACAAAAATTCCCACGAGTAACGCATGTAACCCTCGGGTGCATACACCATTACACCCTTCGGCAAAGCAAAATTTCAGCAATTTTCCACAAAATCACTGACAATGATGGAACAGCCTTCATCACAACACATACAGATATTATTTGCGCCTCCCTCAGAAAACCCTCGACATGTGAGGGACTGAGGGAAGCCTTCGGCAATCAGCAGAAAGCAAGTTCTCAAGCAAAGGCGCCCAACTAAATGATGGAGCCCCCGGAAGAATCAACACATCTACTCCTTTTCCCTCAAGTACCTTTCGGCAAAAGGAGTGAGGGACTCCTGATGGAGTATATGGCCCAGCACCCCCCGGCCCATAGACTCCTACTTCTCCTACACAAGTCCGTTGAGCCCAGAGAACAACTCAGGCCCAAATGCAGCGGCCCAAGCCTCGAAGTAGCTCAGAATGCACACTGGGATGCCTTCGGCCTCCTTGGCCGAGGGCTCCAAAACTCACAGGATAGCCTTCTCTGGCATAAGAAGCTGCTGGGAGAAAACAGGCGAAGACATGAGCCTTCGGCATTCCCATGCCCTCGGCACCAGGGGAAGCCTTCGGCTGAACCAAGCCTTCGGCTACACAAGGAGCCCTCGGCTGCACAAGGGGTCCTCGGCTGCACAAGGAGCCCTCGGCTACACAGAGAGCCTTCGGCTGAACAGGCTCAATCATCGAAGATTCCTTTTAGAGACAGCCAACCACCGCATTTAATGCCATGTCACATCCGCCAACCGCATTCAATGCGGTTGACGTACCACTGCCGGTGCCACCAGGCTGGTGTGACCCTTCGGCCGTTGGATTGCTGACACGTGTACTCTCATCGCATTTATTGCTGCTATAAATAGCAGCCCATTTCTCCTTGTAATGGACACAATCTACATCCCAACTCCACATCTCGAGTTCATTTAATAAAATCGACTCTCTCTCCTCCTATTTTGCTCTGACTTCTCTCTAGTTATTCCCGCAATAACCCCTCGGATAAGATACCCCCCGGGTAGATTGTCCATCATATGGTGCTCTCGTTGAGAGGTTGAACACAATCAAGTGAGAAAACCTCCCCAAAAAACCAAAAATTCATCCAAAAAACAATCTGGAATTTCAAAAAACAATCCGCAACTGTCTAGATGTGATACAGTTTTCGCCAGACGTGAACTGGCTGGTCAGCTGGAGCAGTTCAAAGTCAAAGGGAGGACCAGATCCGACGTTGGTCCGACAACCAGGAGCTCCGGCGAAGCACGGCCCCCCAATCCCCAGTGTTGATGCCTCGTTAGCTCTTACTCGTTCACCCAACTCCGTCTCAACGCCACTAGGCCCACCAGTCCCTGGCTTCAGCTCCTGACAGCACCGGCCCAACGGAGAAGCTACCAAACCGCGATACCTGTTCGGATCCATGGAGCTCCTCACCTGAGTCGCAGCACCACCGCTGGTCACTCGTCGGTGGCGGGTAATGAAAATTCGCTCCACTTCATGCTATTCGCTCCCGTCACGGTCCGGCCAAATGCAGCTCAAGCTGCAAGAAACTATTCTGGAAAAATAAAAAAAAAGGATACAACAAGAACAGATCGGAAATTTGGGATTTCGCAGACACAACCGGAGAACCATCGCCCAGCAGCGGCGTCCCAGGTCATGTAGGCTAACTTCTGGTCTAGCACCCCTGCCGCCGGCAGGCCACCACGAGCCACCTGCTATAGTTTCAGGCGGGGATCTGCAACTCCTACAGGCTACATCCGGAAATGTCAAGGACAAGAAGAAATCTGAAAACTCAAGATCTGGGTCGCCTTCCACCGTCAACTCCACCGCCGTGCGCCGTCTACCATCCGCTTATGCACCTGGTGAAGTTTGGCACGCCATACAGGGCATCGTCATCGCCGCTCTGGATCTGCGCCCTCCCAACTGTCCGCAGTGGTGTTGAAACCCATCCGCGACCTCCAGCACTCCGCTGATCTCCATAGCAGCTCGAAGGTCAGGACAGGGGCCACGTTGCCATCTCCATGGTCATTTGGCTCAGTTTCTAGATTTTGACCTCAAGTATCCACCATTAATGGCTGGCGGAACTCGAGGAACAGAAAATCGGAATTGCCCTACTCACTGTCCTACTCAATCGGAACCGCCAGGACGAGTACATCTGCGTCACCTCAGTAGCTGTTGGGCTGGTCTCCTTGACAGGTACAGTACCGGTGTGCTGGTTAAGGTCGGTCACGTTGTGGCTGTCCCCTTTGCCAAAAGTGAAAGCTGGCAAGCATTGTGCTAAGGGAGCCTAATCTGTTCGAATGCCAAATTTAAGGCAGTGGAGGGATGGTCCAAATTTGTTGGAGCAGCCCAATGGGGAATAAAGGCCCAATTTCTTTATGAGCCCACACAATCCAATATTTCAGCCCACTTCAAAAAGATAAGTGTCTTCAATTTTAATACTATTTATATTTATTTAAATCAATATTTTTTGTCGATTAAATGTCACACTTTCACGCACTTATGATCAAATGCCTAGTAGAGTGTGGATTGAGACCCATCACTAGGATTTAAAGCCCTGACCTCTCAGGCACAAAGCCCTGGCCCTGATCCAGGCACAAAGCCCTGACCTCTCAGGCACGAAGACCGGTCTTAGTCATTCCTCGAGTGGCGACCGTTGCTTATGAATGGCTCACACATCCATTCTACTAAGTATTTTATCATTACATTAACAATTCACATCTCCACTTGTTTCAAATGACGAACTCCCGATCGGGAACATAAATCCCAAGAAAAAAATTTATATGTATGATAAATGTGTAGGTACGAAGATGACTTTACTCATTTTCACCTCGTCTCCACTCGCCTCAAAGAGTGGGGACTGGGGGACTGAGGGGTCAGAATTTCTAGATGAGTAGAAAATATCACGCAAGAGCAGGAACGAGAGCTGAGTCAGTTGAAGAGGAGCTGAGCTAGATTGATTATGCCGGAGGGGATTTACCTTCCTTGTTTCATGTTGGGGGCGCTAGGTGTACTCTTTTTCCCTTTATTAGGATTTTTTCCCACTGGGTTTTTCCTAGTAAAGGTTTTTAACGAGGCACCTCCCCATAATGGACAAGGGTGGTGGTCCCCCGGCCGAAGAGGAAGAACGTTGCAGATACAGTTTGGACTACTCCCTTTCGCCTCGAGTACTCTCAACTCAGGGAGTGGGGGACTCCTGATGGATTATATGGACTCCGACCCCCCGGCATGCCGACTACTAGGCCTGGACAGCGGCCCACACACGTTTAGCGGATATCATTAATATTATTGTACATTATTATTATTATTCAGATGTTCTAGATTAGCTTTTTATACTATCAGTCCATTTATGTAACCGGGTCTGCCAGGCCCATATTAGAGGCCCAGACCCGGATTTTCCCTATATATACTCCTTATAGGAGGCTTGTAACTCATATAACCAATACTCATTCTATACACATTTCCTTCTTTTTCATCATTTCTTCTACACTCTTGTTCAATTTCTCCTGTTTATACAATATAAGGTTGAGGTTGAGTATCCTCGGGACGGTAAATGATCCTAAAACTCGGTGAGGTTGAGTATCCTCAGGATGGTAAACAATCCTAAAACTCGGTGAGGTTGAGCATCCTCAGGACGGTAAACAATCCTAAAACTCGGTTGAGGTTGAGTATCCTCGGGACGGTAAATGATCCTAAAACTCGGTTGAGGTTGAGTATCCTCGGGACGGTAAATGATCCTAAAACTCGGTGAGGTTGAGTATCCTCAGGATGGTAAACAATCCTAAAACTCGGTGAGGTTGAGCATCCTCAGGACGGTAAACAATCCTAAAACTCGGTTGAGGTTGAGTATCCTCGGGACGGTAAATGATCCTAAAACTCGGTTGAGGTTGAGTATCCTCGGGACGGTAAATGATCCCAAAACTCGGTTGGGGTTGAGTATCCCCGGGAGGGTTAACACTCCTGAAACTCGGTAGGATATTATGAAGGTAGAATGTAGCTCTTAAGCTAGGCATTCAGGAATGAAAGGGGAAAGGTTGGGTAAGTACCTTGTCTCTAAAAGACTCTTTTGTGAGAAAATGACCTACGGGTCAAGTATTTTACAAGTATATACGGTATGTATTATCTTGGGGATGGGGTAACAATGGTTACACCTATAAGTATATGTACCACCCTATTTTTGGGTCTCGTGTCTGAAACATTAGTTATTCCTCATATAGCCTGCTTGTCACTAGTACTTCTATGGAGTACTGACCCCTTCGGGGGCCCTCACATTTTTCAGGTTAAGGCTAGAGTCCTACTACCTGCACCTTTGCCTAGGGTGACTGATCAAGGAGGAAGACGTGGTTCGTGCTTCCATTCATCTTCAAAACTGATAAACTGCTCATGGATATTTTTAACAATGTTTTCTATTAAAATATTTGGGGGCCTGCGTGCCCGTATTTGCCACGTGTGGCTCAGTATCAAACATATCTTATTTTCCGCATTTGTTTGACTAATATATATTGATGTTGATTGTATGGGTTTACTAATCGGCTTGGCAGTAGAACTCAACGGACGCCTTGTATGATTTGATAAGGATGAACTACGTTGTTCTTATTGGGTTGTACGGCGGTTGTCTACGTGGCACGGACGCGGTCCGGGGCGTGACACTTCATCTTCCCCAAATCCCAAATTTCGAACCTCCTCTCCCAAATCCACCATTTTCGCACCTTCAAACTCCCATATCTCCCTCAATACTCAATCAAATTCCCTCATACCACTACCAAAACACTCCCCTCACTCCCCTCTACGACCTCATACCAATTAATCCCTCCTCCTCTCCCTATTTCCAAAGAACCGAAACCCTACCCCTCAAACCCCAAGTCCGAATTCAAGCTCTCAATTTGCTCAACAATGGCACGAAAGAGGAACCAACCGGAGAGCTCCAACACAAGGGGACCTATTCGAGGCTATGAGGATGTTCAATTTGGCCCGGGGGATCATCGAAAGCGATTTGTAGCCATGCTAAAAAGGCAAGTCATTCCTTCCCGTTTCTTATGCCATGAAGCTCCTACTTCTCTTGGTTTGTTGGATGGTATGAGAGAGCTATTTGATGAATTGCATATGGACTTGCTTTTTAATGTGCAATATAATTGTAATGAAAGGGTCATCTATGAATTTTTATGTTCGGCCAAGTTTGTGTTGGATGAAAACCATTTTTATGATGATACACTCTTGTTTCGGTTGATGAACACCGAATACACCATAACGAGACGTGATTTTGCCGAACAGTTCGGGCTCCGATTCCCACATGAAAGGGAAATCCCGGATAACACTATGGATGCATATAATCTTTGGGGCAAAATGACCGGAGAACGGAATTTTAGCACGTCTCAACTATACATTAGTCACGTGCAACATCCCCTTCTCCGGATTTTCCTCAAATTTTTGTGCAACTCTTTGCTTGGCCGCCCCAACAACCATCACACTCGGATAGGGGATGTAGCCATTCTCACTCTTGCTCTTTTCCGCAATCCTGTTGAGTTCAACATTTGCAACTTAATATGGGATCATCTAGAGAAGGCCATCACAAAAGGGGGAAATATTGTCCTAGGGGGAGTTATCATGCATCTAGCTTCCAAATTTGGTTATGTGGATAATGCCACAATTTCTAGAGATTCATTGATGCATCTAGGATGGTTATACAATGCACAATTAATCTCTTTGGGTAATAAAGACCACAATGGGACCCAACGCTATAGATGGCACATGAAGTACCCCGAACCCGTCAAATACTTTCCCCTCCCTTGCGACGAATTACCTAGACTTAGGTATAGAATCGAGCCATTTGACATCCCCCACTACCTCCTTCCTAACAACATCCCACCACACCTCCAACCTCAAGCCAACCAAGACGAGCAACAACCCGAGCTTCAACATGACAACCAACCCGAACATCAACCCGACCACACCACAAATCAAGGATATGAAAATGTCCAACATGATATCCCCGACCTTTCTCAAAACCCGCCACCAAAAGACTTCTTTCAACAACTCTTGGCGGGGCAACAATCGCTCCTAACCGGTTTCCATACAATGAGCCTTGATTACACAAAGATGGGAGAGCAATTCACCCAACTTCAAGGAGAGATAGGCCACTACCGGAACGAGCAACAAGAAAGAGACCGGCGATTTGATGAATACCGGGAGGAGCAACTGGTGGCTTTTCAAAGGTTGGAGGAACAACGAGCGGCCGACATGCAAAGATACGAAGAAGACTACCGGAGGATGTATGGGCCGACATATTCATACATGTCCCAACTTGGCGGGTTTGCATCTATGGCCTCACCACCACCGGCACCTTCTTGGTATAACCCCTCCGATTGGGGTAATTTTGGCGGCTCTAGTTCCGGCATGGGTGGCTATGATGGCGGGGATACCACCATGGGCGAGGGAGGCGGTGATGACATGCACGGGAGCGGCTTTGGAGGAGGCTACTATGGTGGAGAAGGCGGGCACTAGGGATAGTGCCATGATTCAAGTGTGGGGGAGGAAGATTATCTCTTGGTATGTACACTCCTTTGTTTTTACCTTGTACTAAGCATTATTTTTCTTGTATTAGTTGTACACAAAAAAAAATATAATAAAAATGAAATGCTAGTTAGGTTGAAAACCCAAAAGGGCAATCTAAGCAACAAGGGCTTACAAAAAATAATGAGTGAGTGGTAAGGAAAGGAAAAGAAAAGAGATGCTAGGATGAAAACCTGAAAAGGCTCCTAGGCAAAATGAGAGATATGAGAGAAAAATTTGTTTCATTTTGCAGGACACTATCTCTTGAAGAAGAAGAAGAAGAAGGAGAAAAGATGAGAAAAAGAAGAAATAGGAAGCATAGAAGACCGTTAAACCCAAGGAAATGTTGTTTTGTAACTTCATTCACAATACTTGGTGGTTTTAAGTTTCTTATTTCATCCTCTCTATGAACTCATGATCTTGTGATAAACACGATGTAAACATTTGGTTTTACTCGAGGTCGAGTAAAGAAACTAAGTGTGGGGGAGTTGACATTCATGTTATTTCCATGTTTATATTTGTGTTTTTGATTAGTTTTGAGTGATTGTTACTCTAGAAATTACACACTTTTGGTGTAATAGTTTAGTTTGTAAAATGTTTGTAAAATTGTTTAGATTAGGTTGATTCTTAGCTCAAACAGGTCCAAGACCACTCTAGGGACCATCGGTGAACATCACAAGTGGAAGGAAGGTGCAAAAATTCCAAGAAAAAATGAAGATCCTGATTTTTGGTGTTGTACCCGGTCGAGTATGCCCTATACCCGATCGGGTAAGTTGCTGAAAAATCAAATCGGATAAATCTGCGAACAAGGCAACGTGCAGGGAAGATTTTAACCACGATCGAGTGTCTATACCCGATCGGGTAGCCGACATACCCGATCGGGTATGTCCATGTTTTTCCAGCTTCCGCGAAGCAACTGAAGGCCCGGTTGAGTACCCTATATACCCGATCGGGTACACGACCCTGCAGGCCTAAAAAGCCTATAAATACACCCCATTTCCTCCACAATAAACTACCAATTGGCATATACTCTTTAGCTCAGTTTAGATTAGTGTTTTCTTTATATTTTCTATCATGTTTAGTCTCCAAATGAGGAGTTAAACTCTTCCATCTTGGTTTTGCTACTTTGAAGCTTAATGAATTTGTAAGTTGTGAGTTATTCTCTTTAATCTTCTTCCTTGAATATTAATTCTTCCTTTAAATACTATTTCTATATCAATGTTAGGGAGTGTTACTAAGATGACAATTAGTTAACATCTTGACATTAGTTATAGTAATAATTATTTCTTCCTCTACGTTAATATTGGGGAGTGTTACTAAGATGACAATTAGTTAACATCTTGATATTAACTATAGTAGGATTCATCTTCTTTAATATTCTTTCTTGAGTATTAATTAATTCCTATTCATATTTCATATTAATATTTTGAACATTACTTAAAGGATCAACTAGTTTTGTTTCATATATTAATTAATACTAGAATCGGTCGATTAATATGCTTGTTATTAATTCGGTCCTTTCACGGTAGTAAACTTGGATTATTAATGCATGCATCTCATGGTCAATAATCTAAGGGGGATTAATTACATTGATCAACCAACAAACCGCTTGTGTTGAGGTTATCAATCTCAATCGTTTTCATCTTAAGTTTATTGCTATTATCAAGTTAATATACGGCGATTGTTCTATATTGACTCGATAGTAAGTTTTATTAATGAACGCATCTCGTTATTAATAACTATCCTCGATGAACTGGATATACTCCTCGATTGAGTATTCGAGAGGAAGATAGTTAAAAATATAACCGGGATCGACGAACATTTCATTAAGTGGATAAAAGCAAAGCCAAGTCTCCTTCTTATTAATTAAACCACATAACTCGTTCATCTTTGTGTTTTAATATTCTTAAAAGTTCTTCAACAACAAACCTAAAACCCCCCCTTCTTATTAGTTATAAAAAAGAGAAGTATTCCTTTCCCTGCGGATACGAACCTTACTACGCTATACTACGTATAAGTGTTGTATTGTATTATTATTTTGAGTCACTACTAGAAAAATGCCCTACAGTGACACCAAATTAGTGTCACTGAAAGTTTCTGTGACACTAAAAAAGTGTCAATGAAAGTGGGAAATAGTGACACTTTTTAAGTGTCACTACAAGTGTCACAAAATTGTGACACTATGGTATCACTAGTTAGTGATACATAGGTGACATAACTATTCGATGACACTTTTACATCATATATTCTTGTGACACCGTGGTATCACATAATTATGTTTTCCATTCAAGCAACACCATACTTTAGTGACACTTTGGTATCACTTTGTTTTGCACTATTTCAGCATTCCATTTCATGGGTAATTTAGAAAATCCTTTTCAATTATATTTAAAAAATTCCAATTCAATATTAACTGATCCCATAAACTATAATAAAGTCAATAAATCTCAAATCATACATTGAACATTTAAAGCATAATATTCATGTCAAACTCCAAGCTACATTGTTGTTGAACTTGTACATACTACATAATTCATAAGTAATAAAGAACAAAACGCAAACAAGTGTAACTTTTACACCATTCTTCATAGGGCCTTCACATTTCTTCTAATATACTTAGACATCACATTTTATGCTGCACAAAATTAAGTCATCACCTGCAAAGTGTTTTTTTTTTCATCAATCAAGACTATGATGGCCTTTTATTGAACTTCCATTACATAGAAATAAAATACCAAGTGAAAGGAACATCAACTTTCTTTGCAACTAACCCAAAACATATCAACAACTGCAGATGCCCACATTCATCCATCCTGTTTGAGGGAGCTCCCAACATCAATCACGAAACGATATTTGACATCCTTTTTTACTAATCTCTCTAGAGCCTCATTGACATACTGGATTGGAATTATCTCAATTTCAGGGTATATTTTGTGGGAAGCACAGAACTCTAGCATCTCTTGTGTCAGTTTCGTTCCGCCAGTTATGCTCCCAGAAATGCATTTCATACCAATATTTAGGCTAGCAGGACTAAATTTCACTTCACTTGGGAACCCCACCATAGCAAGAACACCAGCAATTTTCAACAGCGACAAGTACAGATCAAATGGGATATCTCCAGATGCGGTGTTAATCAGGAAGTCAAATGTTTTAGACAGTGCCGCCATCTGATGTTCATCAGTTGAGATCACAAAATTGTCAGCTCCAAGAAGAGACAGAGCTTCATCTTTCTTTGATATACTGGTGCTGAAAACAGTTACTTTAAGCCCAAAAGTTTTCCCAATCTTCACAGCCAAGTGACCAAGACCACCTAGTCCAATCACACCTAAAGACTTGCCGGGTTGGTTCATGTTATGCCGTATCATAGGAGTGTACACAGTAATTCCAGCACACAACAAAGGCGCTGCCAAGGCAAGAGGGTAGCTTTCGGGAATTTTGTAGCAGTACCTTTCATGAACAACAATGTAACTTGAGTATCCTCCCTTAGTAACTGTGCCATCAAAATCTATTCCATCAAAAGTATAGACAGATCCCTTTGAACACTCATTTTCTAACCCTTCCTCACAGTACTCACATTCCCTGCATGAGTCGACGTAAGTTCCAACTCCCACAGCATCACCCACTTTAAAGCGCTGGATGTTGGAGCCAACCTCTTTCACAATTCCTACAATCTCATGTCCAGGCACTAAAGGATACTTGGAAGGCCCATGAAGACTAAAACAATGTGCTAAAACAATGTATATAAGATATGAAGGTAGAGAAACTGATAAAAAATGGAATAAAAATCACAGCCCAACTCTTAGTTTTTTTCAACCTATGCCTTTTCAAGTCGCAAAGTCAACTATTATTGTAAATGAAATATAAGTCACACTCCATCTCTTATTTTTTCTCAACGATAAATTAAGAATCATGATTATGTCTACGTAACATAAGTTAATGCTATAATGTTTGCATAGTTTTGCCAATTGTTATTGTATATATTCCTTGGTTTAACTTCTAATCAAACTTTATGTATCTAGGAAACACAAATTGAAGCAGAAACATCAAACATCAAAAGACCTGTTCTAGAATCTATTACTTTAAGTAGAAGGTGACAATTTAGTTTTATAAACAACTTACAAAATCTCCAAGACACCATTGAAGCTTTGACTAATTCATGGAAACTCTTTATAATCACCGTACACACAACCCTTTATGGCTTTAAGTTTTCTAGAAGCATGAAAAACCGATAGAGAACAAACCAATGGTTTGATGCGGCAGCGAGTTCATTGATTGTTGAATTGTTTGTTGCAGCAACATGGTTCGTCCATCTTCAGATGCATCATTAAACTTTACAAAGCTGAGAATATACCCCAGGTTAATTAAAAATACAAAATACTCTAGTCATTGTGACTAGAGTATACTGCTCTAGTCATCAACAATTCACAAATAATACAATCACTAGTAAAAATCGAAATTCATACATGCTAATTTCTACTTCAAGTTAATTAAAAGCAGCTTTGAGAATTCTGCCAATACATGAAATTAATCAACCTGCCCATGTGAGGCTGCACCAGTACAGAGGTCATCCTTCTCACTGGCAAAAATCAGCTGCACCTTCCTCCTCACAAGACTTACAAAGCACCTAACCTTCTTTTTCCTGCTGCTAGTTAGTAACCAACAACATCTACTCCTCATTCTGTAAATAGATTTAAGGTTATGGTATATATTCTGAAAAATCAGATTTGGTTTCAAAATGGCCTCATTTTTAGGTTAAAAAACTACAAATTAAAATTAAAGGAAGTAAAGATAAGAGGTGTCAAGTTAAAGATCGAGTACCTGCTGGCTAGCATCTCCGTTCATCGGCTGGTATTCCCAAAAGGAGAAAAATCATCGACTTAGTCTGTCAATTAGCTAGGTCGGGGGGCAGGTTGCTATGAACAAGAACAACCAGATTATTGGTGAAGTTTATCAATTTCCGATTAAAACTAAACCAAATTAGATGATATTGTTGAAGGATGACCTAAGCTAGGGAAGAAAGATGAAGGAAAAATTACATACCTGAAATAGATGATAATCGCTGATGAAGAAGAACCAGCGAGGAGACGCGCGATGTCACTCGGCCGGACCAAGAACGACGGCCACACACCGTCTGGGACTCGTCCAGGCTCGAAATCATCGACCGTTTCTGCTGGATCTACGTCCTCGATGATATCGTCGACCGTCGCGATGGAGTACAGTGATGGAGTAAGGCAACGATGGAGTAAATCGATCCATCTCTGGTCTGGCAGAAGATGGAGAAGACGGATCTTGAAGTATAGGGTTAGTGCGAGTAGAGCTCTCGAATTGAAGAAAATCGATCGGGGGTAAAGTAAAGTGGGTATGTGAAAAAAACCTATACGTTGGGCGTTTAAAAAAAACTTTGCTCACACCCAGCCGGCCCAGTAAGCGAACCCTTCCGTATTGAAAAAAAATAAGTGTCGCTATTCGGCTGTAAAATTTTTGTGTTAGAAATCAATGACACTTGTGTGTCATTAATGGTATTTTATCAAAAAGTGTCACTATAAAAGTGTCACTGTAAGGCATTTTTCTAGTAGTGAGTGCACATCACGACAAAGTGCACGTCAGTACTCAACCTCAACCTTATTCCTTACCAACCCTAACTTGGATATGGTTAACCTTTCATTCACTTAACTATGGACAATACCTAGTCCTATAGTCATGTAACAATCCTTAGTAACCAACGTGGATGGGTCCCACCTAATCGGTCCACGTTAACCTACTCAAAAACTACGTACCCGTTTTGAGTATAACCCAATACTCGATCGAGTACCCACCTATACTCGGTCGAGTACAGGAGACAGTAGCCCGTAAGGCTAATTTTCCATGCATAATCGATCGAGTACCTATCCATACTCGATCGGGTATAGGAGACAGCAGCCCTCGGGGCAGATTTTCAGCAAATACCCGGTCGGGTATTTGCCGATACCTGGTCGGGTATTGTAGTTGACTTGGCGGGCAACGCCCGTTTGACCGCCCAAACGGAGTCCGATTAACGTGAAATTTTACATGCATGTACTACTTGAAGTCCTTGATCTAAAAATACTTGTTTTGGCCCTTGGAACATCATACATATCAATTTATATTAATTTCACTAATCAACCCTACATTTCATGCTTTCCAACCATGTTATGGTTTCTATCATGACATAACACATACTTTACTACCATTAACCAATTCATAAAACATGTTCTTGATTAATTTAGGTAATCTCATGCCTCACGCAAAAGTTATAAAGCATGTAGTCGTCTTCTCACCTTATTGAAGCTTATGAAGTTCTAGCCTTCCCGGTTTAGCCCCGGTGAAACTCCGGTGAACTTCAACGAACTCCGGCGACAACTCCGGCGACCCTTTCAACTTCGTGAAAGTTCTTGAAATACCTTATACAAGTTAATAACAAGGTTTTATCATCACAAAACCCATATCACCACAAATAACCTCTAAAAGGTTATTTTCCGACGAACCCGTCAACTTTGCTCTCAAAGTTCGTTTTGGGTATAAACCAACTCTCTAACTCCCATTCTACACTTTTACATGTGTAGAACTATCCTAGTAGTATGAAACATGATTAAAGAGAAGAAATGGGATTAATGAAGTGATTACCTTGTTAACTACAAGTTTTCCCACCTAAAGCTCCTCTTTTCTCTTCTCTTTTCTCTTCTCTTTTCTCTTCTCTTTTCTCCTCCTCCTCCTTCTTCCTTAGCTTGGTGCGTGTAAGGATGATGAAATGGAGTCTTTTGCAGTCCTTCTATCCTCAATGAAGCTATCTTGGACGAGGGACAAAGGCTGGGGTGGTTGTGAATAGCCTTTTTGGCTTATTCACCAATAATATGGGGGAGGGGGACCCCTTTTCCTATCAACTTGGTCTCAGACCACTTCCTCCCTCTTTCCACATGATATGGTGCGGCTCCCTTTGATAATTTGCAGACCAAGGACGTGGGGTGGCCCCCACTCATGTGGGAGGTCATCCCTTTGTGACCCGAGATGTATAATCGGTCCCGAAAGTTGTATTTTCCGGACTGTTTTAACTATATTTCATTTTATTGGGTTAAATGAACTATCTATCATTCTTCCAATCATCATTGGCTTTTAGAATGAATACTAGTTTAGCAACGCGCGATGCGTGTTCGTGTAAATGCCCAAGACCATTGCATGTTCACTAATTGATGAGGTTACGTTGAATGAATGTGTGAGTATTATGAGTAAACTATTTGTATACATGTTTCTTAGACCATGAAGTCATATGTTTGCCCACGAACTCTGTTTTTGTATATTATAGGAAAACCCAAAAATTTATACAATGTTGTGCATGCGAATCGAAATTAAATTACGAGAACAATGACACAAGATATATGCTTCAACAAAACACCAAAATAAAGAAATTTTATTGGTCTTTTCCAGTGAACATCAAATAATATAGGTTGTATGGGGTACAATGGTGAAGGAGGTATATATAGGAAGATGCAACGGAGCAATTGGAGGTGTATTTTGATTTTTAAGAAGGGGGGTCAAAGATGAAGGAGGTTTAGGTCGACTAAATGGAAATGGGATCCTTTCTGCAGGTTTTCTAAATTTATAAAACATGTGAATACAGTAAAGAAAAACAAGACTTTAGAGTATGAAGTATGAACTAAGAAGCAAGTAACTGGCAAGGTGTTAGAGTTAAGGTGTATTAAGTACACTTTTTTTAAGTACACTAATTAACCACAACTCCGGGTTATTATTTACACTAATTAACTAAAACTCCGGGTTCAAAAGTGTATGGCAAAAGGCTAAAAAATTGCAGTTTTGAATAAGGAGATATAAAGATTCAGGATTCAATAGTTCTTAATTCATATGGTATGAAAAAGGTAAAAGATTCGGGAATCAATATTTTTTTTAATTCATGTGGTAATACATGAAATAAACCATAATGGGTGTAAAAGATCGTTGCATCAACTTGAGATACCCAAACAACTATCTCTGACGATTGTGGAAACACACATGACCCAACAAATGAACCTGGAGGTGACAAAATTGAATATACAATAAGCTAAAGCCTAAAGTTAAACAAGATGACAACTTAACGGAATCACGATATGGGAAGTAAGAAAAGCATTGAACATGTAAATAAATATTTAAATTGAAGCAATGATATTGAACACAGTAACACTAAAGACGCGATAAAATGTAAATCGCTTGAGTAGGGAATAAACTAACATGTGTACTGGACGGAAGAACTGAAATACTATTTGAAAATCTGAAGCTAATTATTCATAACCGAAATATTGTACTCATGGTTTGTTTGCAAACACTACTCCCAAGTGCTTTTTACTTTTTAAAGTGATTAATAGTAAAAGTTGGTAGTGTTTGAGAAAAAAGTGATTTTGAAAAGTAAAAGTTAGTAGTGTTTGATAAAATAAGTGATTTTTGTGTAATAAAAAAAATAAAAAATACTTTTTGCACAAAAGTCGAGAAAAGTTTTTTTAAGTAGAAGTTGTCACTTGAAAACACTCTTTAACTTTTTTAAGCCACATGTTGGAAAATG